GCGGCTCGTTTCGTCTCACCAGCTTTGTTCCCTGTCTTGTTGGATTCTTGCCCGGTTTCCTATCGTTAGTTGGTTTGCTTACCTGTTCGTCCTGGTCTCCTTTGTTGTCACTGCCCCTCCTTTGTTGTAAGTATTATGGACCCTGTTTTTGTTGTTAGGTTGGAGTTGTCTTATATTTCCCCCCATTAAACCTTTGTTTTGCACTAGCACCTGGGTCAGCAATCTTGTGTCCTCCCTCACCCTCCTGGCGAGGGGGGCTAACCCTAACAGATAGCTAATATGAAGTTCCTGCTGTTAATCTGCTCAGAGCAAGAAGCCCTGCTTTTCTGGACATTACTAACATTTGCATGTATGAAAATCCTTCGGTATATACCAGACAGAACAAATAAAAAACTGAATAATTGGGCGTGCAAAATTATTCAGCCCCTTTACTTTCAGTGCAGCAAACTCTCTCCAGAAGTTCAGTGAGGATCTCTGAATGATCCAATGTTGACCTAAATGACTAATGATGATAAATAGAATCCACCTGTGTGTAATCAAGTCTCCGTATAAATGCACCTGCACTGTGATAGTCTCAGAGGTCTGTTTAAAGCGCAGAGAGCATCATGAAGAACAAGGAACACACCAGGCAGGTCCGAGATACTGTTGTGGAGAAGTTTAAAGCCGGATTTGGATACAAAAAGATTTCCCAAGCTTTAAACATCCCAAGGAGCACTGTGCAAGCGATAATATTGAAATGGAAGGAGTATCAGACCACTGCAAATCTACCAAGACCTGGCCGTCCCTCTAAACTTTCAGCTCATACAAGGAGAAGACTGATCAGAGATGCAGCCAAGAGGCCCATGATCACTCTGGATGAACTGCAGAGATCTACAGCTGAGGTGGGAGACTCTGTCCATAGGACAACAATCAGTCGTATACTGCACAAATCTGGCCTTTATGGAAGAGTGGCAAGAAGAAAGCCATTTCTTAAAGATATCCATAAAAAGTGTCGTTTAAAGTTTGCCACAAGCCACCTGGGAGACACACCAAACATGTGGAAGAAGGTGCTCTGGTCAGATGAAACCAAAATCGAACTTTTTGGCAACAATGCAAAACGTTATGTTTGGCGTAAAAGCAACACAGCTCATCACCCTGAACACACCATCCCCACTGTCAAACATGGTGGTGGCAGCATCATGTTTTGGGCCTGCTTTTCTTCAGCAGGGACCGGGAAGATGGTTAAAATTGATGGGAAGATGGATGGAGCCAAATACAGGACCATTCTGGAAGGAAACCTGATGGAGTCTGCAAAAGACCTGAGACTGGGACGGAGATTTGTCTTCCAACAAGACAATGATCCAAAACATAAAGCAAAATCTACAATGGAATGGTTCACAACTAAACATATCCAGGTGTTAGAATGGCCAAGTCAAAGTCCAGACCTGAATCCAATCGAGAATCTGTGGAAAGAACTGACAACTGCTGTTCACAAACGCTCTCCATCCAACCTCACTGAGCTCGAGCTGTTTTGCAAGGAGGCATGGGCAAAAATTTCAGTCTCTCGATGTGCAAAACTGATAGAGACATACCCCAAGTGACTTACAGCTGTAATCGCAGCAAAAGGTGGCGCTACAACGTATTAACTTAAGGGGGTTGAATAATTTTGCACGCCCAATTTTTCAGTTTTTTTATTTGTTAAAAAAGTTTGACATATCCAATAAATTTCGTTCCACTTCATGATTGTGTCCCACTTGTTGTTGATTCTTCACAAAAAATTACAGTTTTATATCTTTATGTTTGAAGCCTGAAATGTGGCAAAAGGTCGCAAAGTTCAAGGGGGCCGAATACTTTCGCAAGGCACTGTATATGCTCAAAGCATTACATTAGTGCAAAGGACCATATGCTGTAAGACAACTGCAGCATATGCTTAGAAGGTGTCACTCATAAAAACTATGTCGAATATAGGATTTAATTTGTAATTAATTGACCAATTCATACATTTTATTCATCAGGATTTTATTAAGTATTATTTCAGCCAAAAACACAGTAAAGGTGTGAGCTAATATCTTAAAGTAGGTGTTTCTTTCTCACTAGTTCCTGTGTGAAATTATCCATCACCTTATTAAAATCCATATGTTAGAGGCAAATATCTAAAATGCGCTCTGAGATGAAAGGGAGGTTTGCATTATGTGGTGAGGAATACATTGCTTTTGAGATTTGAACAGTTTGCTTGGCTTGTTTTCTCCCCTGCTTGTGATGACAACCCTTGAAAACCATTCTATTGTCACTGTTGCTGGCTACTTGTTCCTGCCAGGTACTTCCCATTTGGCATTGTGTTCCTGGTGGCAGGTAAGATTCTGGAGATGAGCGATCCTTCAGCCATGGGGAAGAAACTGGGTTTCTATGCCGTCACTGTGGTGTTTGGTCTGGTGTTGCACGGCTTGTTCATCCTGCCTGCCATGTACTTCTTCATCACTAAGAAGAGCCCCATCGTTTATATCCGGGGAATCCTGCAAGCCTTGCTTATTGCCCTGGCAACCTCCTCCAGGTAAAGAGAAATTACTATAATGTGAAAAAAAAACAATTAATTTAACTTGATTTTATTTTATTTATATTAATGTGTTATTAACAAATCAAATTTTGATGTCTATGTGTCCAAATAGCAGAGTTGTTTTTCCTTTTCTATTTATTCACTGAAACGTTACTGTAAAAAAGGATGGTGGGAGATGAGAAAACATCTGGTGTGTATGCAAAGAGACTAGAATGTAAAGGAGCATTCTATGCATTTGATTAGCCTGGCATCTATCTGTGTGGGTGTGTGTGTTCAGGTCTTCAAGTGTGCATGCACATATAGTTGATAGAGATATGGCTTTGTTTTTGTTTTTGTTTTTGGGGGGGGGGGGGGATTTTGCAAAGAGATATGGCATTGACACAATTTGGAGTGTTCTATCCCAGTTACATTAGCAGACATTATGCTCACTGCATTAGGTATCAGACTGGTTCCAATTTTGGCCCATATGCAGATGAAAATCAGTTGGTTCTCTCATGTGGTTGCTTTCCAGACTCTGGGGTCCAATCCCAGGGGTACACATTGGACAGGTGGCCAGTCAATTTAGAGTCCTGCTGTGATCCATTGAATCCTAAAATCTTCAATGTGAAACCAGTTCATGTTCTTGTGGCAGACTGGCAAAGGCAATGTTTATTCAAACTATGTGCAACGATGTTTATTTATTTACTTTAAGCCAAACCAAGGCCACAGTGAGTGTTCGGTCATATGAACATGTGTGCTTGGCTCAGATCAGCAAAAAGCATATTCTGCATACTGAATGCCATGTAAAACATTATTGCATCTCCCCCTGTTCATAAGAGTTTTAGCTGTTTCTTTCACCACAAAAAAACCTAAAATAGTTGCTACACACATACCCATGAGAAACTGGGAGGTGGTTATGTAATGGTCCTTTGCCTGACCTTTGAATATTCAAACAGTCTTTCTGCTGTTCTCTGTCTTTCTCAGCTCTGCCACATTGCCTATAACCTTCAAGTGTCTCTTAGAGAACAACCATATTGACCGTCGCATCATCCGTTTTGTGCTCCCTGTGGGTGCCACCATCAATATGGATGGCACTGCTCTTTATGAGGCTGTGGCAGCGATCTTTATTGCACAGGTTAATAATTATGAGCTGGACTTTGGCCAGATCATCACTATCAGGTCAGTGGACCACACTGTATGCCATCTGTGGTTATAAGCTCATTAACAGGATGCTGTCAGGATGTCACTGGGATTTTAAAGTACTGATATCAACAACAATAAATCCATTATGGCATATTAATGTTTAGATTTCAAAATATTTTTCATAAATGTTTGTGTCGGTGCTTTAACCTCATTAGTTGCAATACATATGTAGGAAAATGTCACCAAATCACCAGCAGTTGCTTCTGTTAGCTCAGCAAAGCATGAAAAAGGCACCTCTTAAAATGGGAAACTGACATTTCTATACTTCAGCTTTTGGACAGGTTTAACAAATGAGCTATAACATATTAATTAGTGAGTTTTTGAGGTGCTGGTGGGCAAAATCTTTTTTTTTTTTACTGCTGGACAGAGCCAGGCTAACTGTTTACCCATTTCTTTGTGCTAAGCTAAGCTAACTGAGTGCCTGCTGAATCGCCATATTTAACTCCTTACCAGAAAATTGAATGAGTATATTTCCTGCAATGTCAAAATATTCCCTTAAGGCTTTGAGCACAGAGTGTAGTACTGAAATAATCATTCACACATAAATCACTGTTAACCAACCTGTTATTTCATCACACACTTTATCACAAAACCATGATCATGGTGTCGCACCCTGCTGTACACGTGATGGATAGGGAGTGTGACAGAGAGGTTTAAACACTACCTGTGCTCTCGCTTCCATACACCCTGTCCTGAATATTGTAGAAATGTCCTGCATGTAAGAAATTCTGAAAAACCTTAAACTTGAACTCAGTCCAGTGTCTCCTCTCCTTGATTTTCTCGGTAGAAATTATTAGCAGTGCACACAAGAAGAGCAGGTTAATAAAACACTGTGGGAAAACACACCATTACAGCAAATCTTCCTTGATATTAAAAAGTATGAAACATTCGATATCTTTGAAGAAAAGTATGTAATGAGAAAAGAAACGAAGCTCTTATTGATTTTATAGTGGTCTGTCATCATTAGTGCAAGATCATCTTCTTCATTAAAGATTGTATTCATTTTACTAAGATTTCATTTTACAAATGAAAATATTCAGGTTTGTTTTTGGTCCAAAAGTCACAAACCTCCCTTGTATTTGTCACTATGTGTTTTTCTAAATGATTCCAAAAAGAGCCATGCATACCAACCATTGTGCTGTGATGAGCAGTGTGATCATCTTACCCTCAACCTGGGGATCTGCACCAGATATCAGACATGCACCATCATGTAGATGTCTCTCCACGCACTGATGCATTCATCTTATTTATCACAGAAGATCAGAGTGTACGGCATTTGAACAGTTACTATGGAGACATTATTAGTTTATAATTCTGATTCATCTTTAACTTCTATTCCGAGAACAAATTTACAGAAAAAGATACTTCATTTGTGTAATCTAACGTGTAAGAACTCTGTGTTCCCTCCAAATTCTTCTAATCAATAAATGCATTCATCAAAGCATCTTGGCCGCTACCCACAAGGACACTAAGGCAGCTCAATAAAAGATTACCACAGTCTGTGAGGACACAGATACTAAATGAGAGTGAATTTAATTTGGCACCACCCAGACCAGTTTGATATATTTCCTCTTAACGGCACTATGTAGAGATTTAGATGTGATAAGATCTTTTAAATCATTATTTTTGCTTTTAAAAAATAATTTCATGGCCATTGTTAAAGAGAGTAAAGCAGCTGTAAATTTCCAGCAAAGAAAAGACAGGGTCGTGTACCACAGGAGAGTAAAAAGCTGACCGTAGGCGGTGGGGGGAGTAAAGTACAAGTACCTTTAGTTATGGTGTGGTTATGATATCCCACAGGAACCACTGTTCAACAGCCATGAGACCATTAGTTTCTAATGTTTACCAACAGACAGGCCTCTCTCTACAATCACACTAACCTCCTAAACTTCCACCAGCATCACAGCCACTGCAGCCAGTATTGGTGCGGCAGGGATACCACAAGCTGGGCTGGTCACCATGGTGATAGTACTAACATCCGTCGGGTTGCCAACTGACGACATCACTCTCATCATAGCAGTGGATTGGGCATTGTAAGTAGCATGTGTGTTCACTTCCATCATTTTTGTGAGATGGAGCCAAGTTAATCACATCAGAGTAAAAACACATGAGCCCCTTTGTCAGGTTCAAATTCAGTTTGTTCACATTCTCCTTCAAATGTTCCTCTCCTCTACAGAGACAGATTCCGCACCATGGTGAATGTAATGGGGGACGCTTTGGCCACAGGCATCATGGCACACATCTGCAGGAAAGACTTCATGAAAGAGGGAGATGGGGTGAGTTTTACTTGGGGTTTTAGTCCTGGAAGAGTTCTATTCTCTGCAGCAAGCGATAAAACTGTGAGACCTGCACAACTGTGAGAGAATTACACATAGCCTGGTCATTAAAAGTGCACTTCAGAGGATGGCGAGGGCTGGTTCTGAATGATTAAACTGTTACAAGCAAAAGCATTAGTGTGATGCTTCCTGAAGCTGAAAGCCACATGACATCTTACTTTATTGTTCTTTAAATGTCAGAACCTTTGCTAAATACCCACAAATGGCAGATATTTAAGAAGGAATGATGTTTTGTGTCTATTTACTGTAATTATAGGTTGAACAATACCCAAACCGGTGTGCGGAATACAGGGGGTCAATCAGGGGTCTGAAAATCTCAAAATTAAATTTCAGGGGGGTCTCAGAAGTTAGACACCTAGTTATTTTCTATTTAACTACAGAATACAATTTATTTGCATGTAACTTTATCAACATTTGTTTTAACATAATAAAAATATATTCATTATATATTAAAGGTGTATTGCCCACTTTATCTACATCTACCGCTGCTTTTGTCAGGATCAAACTATCATAAAATATAAAACTGGATAGTGTAGCCTATATACCCTGTGGTAGCAATGATGGTATGTTTTGGTAAAATGTAACCATTTGAGGAAATGGTTACTGAATAGTGAGTGCACGAGCTACTTATATGTGTTACTCTATTTTGTGCGCTGATGTATAAATACTGTATGTGGATGGCTGGAGCACAGATCCTCAACATAGTCTTCTTATTTTATTTAAAAAAAAATTTTATTCTTATGGCCTCTTCACCCTCAGGTGCCTTTGATCTGTGAGACAAAACCTGTGATGAACACCCGACCTCTGAACTGTCACAACAGCAATTACCGGCCCACTTCCTCTGGGATCAGACCTAAGCTCATCCCCCCCGACGTTGCTCAGCTCATGCAGCTGGAGGAGGGCATCCGGCCATCATCAGAAAGGAGGAAGTCCCGGATTTCTCCGAGGCACCTGAAGAAGAGTAAAGAACACTGTACCATTGACATGAATGGCCTGGAGACCAACGTGTAGCCTCTTCCTGGAGTTTGACGGATTGTCTGTGTGGTTGTGCTGATCAGAACCTCAGAACTGATGACACCTGTATGAGTAGAAGTGCAGCATGGCCGAGCTCATCGTTTTTCTTTCTGTATATTATTGTTCCAAACGTTCTGGGGATGATATGTCTGAGGAAATCATTTTAATCTAAAACTGTTGATTTTCCATTGTTGTAGAAGTGAAATGATTTCTGTGAGACTGGAAAAGACTCATGGTGGCAGTGGAACTGATGACACAAAAAAGACTATATATTTTTTGATAATTTTGTTCAACTCACCCTTGGTTTGAATGTTCAAGGTGAGTCTGTGCTTATTCTGAATATAGGTTTGAATATAGGTGCAATGATTTGTATTTGATATCAACATTTTATACGATTTATTAATTTTCTTTTGTTTTTGTTGTCTATGTGCAATATTATTGTAAGCAGCCAGTTGTTTGCATCATATAACAGACAAGACAAGATTGCAAGTGTCTACTTGGAATACTCAGGAGATAAAGTGAACTGCCCTGCAAATTCTGCCTTAACAGAGCTGGTGGTGCTAGGCTGACGGTGATGACTGGGAAGGAGGAACGGAAGGACATGATCAGACACTTCAACCATCCCTTGTGGTCATGTTATGCTGTAATTTTAGTACATGGGTGTTACATTCCAGCTCACAGAAAGGAGAAGAGAAGTCTATACCCCTGCCCTGCCCTGCATGCAATTCTAGTACTTCAGAAAAACAGTAGACAACAAAGCTACACATGTAAACTCCAAATACAAGGTGCACAATAACACCTACTGGCAATTGTACAGCAGCATGGGGTTTACAATAACAAGAGTCACAGTGGCGAGCTGCTTAGTCCAAATTACAACCACATGGGATGACAGGAGGGCAGCAGTCTTTAAGGTGACACCACTGCCCTGGATGCTGCACCAACCAGGAAGGCAAAAAGGCAGAGGCACGTCATTACTACATGGTTATCTTACCTCTGGCTCCAATCCCAGGCAGACGATAGAGCAGACCAATCTGCATATGGTGCACATGGAAACACTAAAAGGAAGCACAGACACAACTAAAACACAGCCGGGAAGGGCAGTCAGCCTAGAGCCATAACAGGGCAATCTAGAAATGCAAATGATTTGAAGTACCAGAACATCCTCAGGAGCACATAATTTAATTAAATGTTCTTGGCAGTTGAGCAGTCCTCTGACCAGGGGACTGTATGTGTAGGCTCTGATTATTCACCTCAAACAGCTAAGTACCAACTAAGTGCCAGACATAAGACCCTTTTCCATTGCCTGGTACCAGCTCAACTCAGATCTACTCTACTAATCTCTACTTGCTTTTGGTACCAGGTGCTTTGTTTTCCACTGCAGATAGTCCTCCCTCAGTGTAGATGGTTGTCACAGCGATGCAGAAACTTCCCTAACGTCACATTATGAATGAATGACGAACAAGCAACTGGTGTCCCTACTTATCACGTGTAAACACCTGGGTTCACTGGTGGTAAGATAACATGTAGTAATGACAAATCTGTCTGACTAATCACTAGTATGCAGTGTTTACACATCACCTTTTGTATCACCTCAGCTCACTTGGAGCTTTGACAGAGCTGATACCAAAAATAGCACCAGGTACCAGGTACTATCCTCAGCATTTGACTGATGGAAAAACAAATAAGGCAAGCAGAGCTGAGTTGAGTTGAACCAGGCTGTGGAGAAGGGGCTATACAGTATGTAAGCTGTAGCTAGCTCAGAAGATATGCACCAACCATGTCTGTGACAAAAATGTCACCAGACACTCCAGTTCTTTCTATTGTTTTCCTCTTCTTTTATGTGTCAAGTCAAGTCACATTTTATTTAACCCAGCAAATTTGCCTGTACAGCACACAACACTGTCCTTAGACCCTCAGATAAGGAACAAAAATACCCCCACCTCTCATACCTGCAAAGAAGAAGAGATACTGTGTATAAAAAGTAAAGCACTGCAGTAAATTTACAGTACGGACTATTGGTGTTATGGCACTCAGTAAGGACTGCTATAGTGGGACGACTGTGGTTCAGTGGGTAGAGTGGTCGTCTCCCAACTGGAGGCTTGGAGATTCAAGTGCGTTAGTGAGGCAAGGGTGGAAACAATCGTTTTTCAAACTAAGACTAATGAAAGAAAAATAACTATAATTGTAATCACGAAATTTTGTCTTTGCGGCCCGGTACCAAATGTTCCACGGACCGGTACCAGTCCGGGGACCGGGGGTTGGGGACCCCTGGTGTAACATACTTGGCCAAATAAAGGTGATTATCCTGCATGATCAGGATAAGTTATTATAAACAGACTGTAAAAATCAAAGTGTACACATCACTTTTCTATTATCACATAAAGGCTCCAATTTGTCCTACAATGTCAAATACTAGGTCTTCTGACAGTTTGTCAGCTCTGTGCACAGTAAATAACAGAGATTTCAGCGACTAGGGCTGCCAATTTTTTTTCATTGGAAGGTAATAGATTGTATTCTGACATTTTTTTGTTTCTTTCTACAGTATCTGGGTTATATTATGTTACTAGTCATAATATCTGCATTGGCTGCACATTGGAGACAAATGAGAAAAAAGCTATGACACTGCCCTGTGAGGGACAATATGCTAAAATATTGGCTGATGTTCTGGTGAATGTTAGAAAACGCACACATTTCTTCAGCCTTTTCATATAATTTATTGCTGTGTTCAGTGACTGTACGTATATGTGACAATACAATACTGCTGTATGTGAAAGTGACACTGCATTCATAGCAATATAGTGACTGTAATAAGATGAATGTGTTTGATGTCATATAAAAATATCTGCTATCTCTTTTTGTTTGTTTGTTTTACAAAACAGACATGGACTGAAGTAGCAGCAGCAGCAGCATGGGGTGAAGCTTCAGATATTTTGAAATTGCGTTTATGCGTGGAATATTTCCTTAACAAGAACATGATAAAAGAAGAATACAAAAATAGTGATGTCCACATTGTCAGTAAATCATTGATTTCTAAGATAAATGTTCTCATTCAGACAACTCACTGGCTGCCTGTCACTTTTTGACAACTTCTGCAGGATTTGAGAGCAATGCTGAAAAATACCCTTAATTCAATTAGCCAACTGAAGGAAAGGTGGTATAGATCATTTTGATTGTGATTAATAATTTCAGCAAAAAAATAGAAACAACCGAACATTTATTGGATAAAGTTACAATCCTTAAGATTTCAGTCCTGGTTGATTTTATAACATATTTCTGGGGGGAAGCCTAAAGAAAAACAAGCAATAATTTCACCCATCATGGTAATATTACATCTAGTAGATACCTAATCTGTATTTCACCCAGGAAAGGTGGACTCCACCAGTAATAATAATCATGTAGTACCATAATTAAATAATGTAAACACAGTGACTGGCTGCTGTTTTGCTAAAAAAAGATGCAGGCCATAAATCCTATGAAAAACATTTCTTGATATAATGAAAATATTAAGGATTGTAAGTTTAAAGCTTCACAAATTGGAGGTGTTGCTCTTTATTTTTTCTACTAAATAGAAATGAAATGCTTGACATTTTTTATACAATGAAATCACATCAAGCGTGTGACTGGCATTTGTCATTTTGACATTTTATAGACAAAGATACTGATTATTTGAAACAGTTAGCAATAAATTATTTGATAATGACATGGAATTGCAGTCCTATTTAAGAGTCAGAGTGTTTCCCTGAACAATTACTGTAGCTTTGGTAGTTTCAGTGGGAGCCAGGCTGCTTATCAGGCCCTTGGTCTTAAAAACACAAACTGTTTCATAGTATTTTGAGTAAATTCACTTTTTTAAGCCAGGGAGACAAAGCAGTCACTAAAAAAAGTGACACAAAGTGGACATCACCATGCACAGTGTCCTCTTTTTTCACTCAGCTGAAATTTTTGACATTGATTCAAAGACACTTACATGGAAAATTCAAATTGACTTTTGTTTTTGAATAAGGTACAAAAACACAATGTTGGTAACAGATGTTGCATGCCAGCAGTCAAAACCGTATTAAAGCTCAGTTATAAAGAATGCAATACTAACCAGCCCATAAAATGGAAATCAAAGTAAACTTCTTCTGGTATCCTGCACCAGAAACATGTGACTCTGTCACTTACCAACACAACAGTGAATCTGGGAAATGACACTGACAAGTTCGTTTCTATCCTTGATGCGATGCAATCAATGTGTCAGCTTTATCGACCATGTCTTATGTTTCCTGCACCTCTTCCGTCATCTCATCATCATCCTCAATCTGAATTCTTTTAAAGGGGAGGTCAGCGTTTCCAGTGCCGATGTCTAGCACTTGCAACTTAGACAGGTGTGCGAGAGAGCTCTCGTCAACAGAGTCCACAGACAGGCGGTTGAACCTTTACAAGAAAACACAGACAAGTATGTTTAAGCATTTTTTTCTCACTTGACAGTTGATCAAATAGCCATTGGATGACTGGGTTTTCAAGAGCTAAAAGCAAAATTCCTAACGTGCAGAGGAGATGATTACCAGACAGCACATGACACTGACAAATCATATCTGTCAGGAGAAGCATCCAAGAGCTTCTGGCTGCTCAGGGATCAGTGCAGTGAGATCCGCTCCCCCACTGATGCAAGCGTTCCAGCAGCTCTAAATTGTCTCAAGCCAAACATTACCAGCTGCAGTGGGATTTTGGTAAAAAAAAATAAAAATTAAAATGTGGCAGCAGCTAATATGAACAATATGAAGAGAACAAAAGCCTGGAAGGGTTCAAGCCATAAAGCAGTTAGGTTGAGGTAAAAACCAAAACAAAATAAAAGCCTTGAAAGTGCTTGTGGGACCTTCAAAAATAGTGGGTATAAACCCGCACTATGTGAACTAAACCATTTAAAATTTGTCTAAAACTGTAAACTGTGATTTTATCTCTAGAATACGAGGAATATTTATGCAAACTTCTATGGCATACAAATCTATAAGTATAATTTAAAATATTAAAAGTAAGTTTTGATGATTTATGATGTGAAAGGTTAAAAGTTGGAAACAGCTCCAATAAGGTTTGTACACAAGGTTTCACTGTTAGAAAACAGTAAATAGCCTATATATTGTGATATTTTGAAAAACATGCTTATTCACTTTCTTGGCAAGAGTTTGATGAGAAGATTGAAACCAGTCTCACATCTGTACAGCACGCAACACTTAGCATGTTGTTGCACCTGGCCATTGAAGTGCTCTGGCACATAACCCCCACAAAACGCAACAAGGAGTTGTTCTAACACATCAGTTTCAGTTTATATGGATGAAACAAACAAGGTACTGTATGACATGATGACTAGTGATTCCAAAAGGTGCAGTTGGGCACATTTTCTTGATTTTAGACTAGATTTCAGTCTTTCTGCTGTGCTAAGCTAAACTAACCAGCTGCTGGCTCTAACTTCAGATACCATACAGTCAAAATGTCAAGCTATTCCTTAAAATTTTTGACCTCACAGCGTTTGAAACATATTCAACACACTGCTATGGATGTGGTTTTTCAGACCCTCACAAAAACAAAAAGTTCAGAAATTCACTCTGAGCTGATTGGAAAAATATGTTTTAAAAAGAGGGGAAAGAACCTGTTGTATATCTACCAGATTACAGCTGGCCCTTGGAGACAACAGTTGAAACAAAAGCAACTGTTTCCTCACAGACATTCTTGGGTCACACTTGCTTAATCATTTCCTGACCAGAGATCAGTTCTTAAGGAAAAGAAACTCATGCAAGGAGCAACCCAACAGATTTGCACAAATGATGTCGAGACCTATCTCTTCCTGTGTGTCCTACAGCTATTTTGTAATAAAACAGCTTGAAGCATGAATGGAGTGTTAACATTGGTTAACACACATTTGAAAAGAAAATCAAGGACTAACAATTACCATTATTGTGACTAAATATTAGTCATAACTAAGAAATGTTTTTCTTTTGTCTCTTACCGGAGGAAGATGCCTTTAATGTTCGGAGTGCCTTCAAATGCTGAAGCAGGAACACTGGAGATGCGATTACTTTGCAGGTAAAGGTACTCCAGTGATTCAGGCAGGTCAGATGGGATGTGTGACAACTGGTTGCCAGACAGGTCTAGTGTCTAAAATTACAAGATGTTTCATTAAAAAAAAATCACAAATCTTTGTGATAAATAATTGTAAAGTGAGAAGAATTAGACAATAATATGATTTATACCGTATGTGTAACTAAAGGCCTTTTTCACTGCAGGAATCTGACGCACCAGCAGTCAGAGGATCTGCTTTTGCTTCCACTGCGCCACATTCACTTTTTCTTTTTTTCAACCACAGGAATTTAATGAGCCGTAACCTGAAGCTCCTCTTAATCTGGTGGGCTGATGTGGTCCATTCCACTTTGCATTTCCACTGCATTTTTCCCTATGTTGGTTAACGTTTACACAAGGGCGGGGGTGAGCTTATTACACACACTGCTGAGCAGAGAGTGCAATGATCCTTAATTACACGAACAACAAAATCTGACAGTAATGGAGACTAAATGAGCAGTTTATAAAAGTAATGCTGAACAACCAGAACACATACTTACAGACGTGACATCTTTACCACTTTGCCTGCAGTCCACTTACTGAAGTCCCCATTTTACGTCTAAAAAAGTAAAGGTGAAGCTCCTGTTTTACCTCTAAACCAGTAGGAGTGACATCCTGGTTTTAACCAGTACAGTATGTTCACACACCGTGCATGTAATACTAATAGATGAGACATGAGGACACTTCAAACCAATCACGGTATGCCAGCCATGCAAGCACCTACACCGTCTCCCCTTGTATTTCTAGCCCTTGACTTTTACATTACCTCCTGAGGGTTGCTGACATTTAGCTCTGGGAACTCCTCTACAAAGTGGAAAGCAAAAACAAAGCCCAGGACAGGGGTATAAGTTCACTTACAGCTCAGTAGGTTACTACTAGTCAAAAAGGACTACTTAGGGGTTTTTCCATTATAGGAACCTACCCAAACACGTCGAACCGAGTAACACTCATCACAGGTTCTGCATTTGCTTTCAAGGGATGTATGTTCTCTCTCATCTCCTCAGCTGACTCCATGTGTGACAGGGGTGGAGCCCCCTCCATCTTCTAAACACAGACTGACACAGGGAAATACAGTGGAAAAACAAAGCAGGGTGGGCTACGTCAACTCAGGAAGTTATGTGGGGCAAAGTACTGGGTACAGTATACCTCTCGTTAGGTTCCCATAGTGGAAACACAGCATTTGGGTTCTTGGAACTAAAGCTTGGGACTACTCTGGAGGTGATACTTACTCACTTTTGCTGGCAAAAATGATAAAACTTAACTTCCTTATAAGACTTTTTGAAGTTTAGAATGTACAAGGTCTGCACTGGTACTAGCCTCGGTTTGTGCCTTTTATATATTAGCATACATTTTAGTCATAAAGATAACCTTTGATTTCTATAAAAGATTATTAACCATCACTGCTGGAAGAAGAACTTAATTTCCACTGTTACTTCAAGAATCCTCCAGAGACCTTTCTAACCATATGGACAAAAATAAACTGTCCGCTCAGTGATAAAAATGATTTTTTAACTCATTTGCCAAGTTGCGCTTTGGTTTTTGAATCAAAACAAAGATGGCATCCTACTGCTTGACTAGACAGGAAGCAGTTGTAACATGGCAAATGGGTTAAAGTCTCCTGCATTTTTCAAACACCATTGGTTATTCTTTTTTATAGAAACTGATGGTTAACAAATGTATGTTAACACATGACAAGCACAAACAGGCTGCAATGATAAGTACTTCCTTAAAGCTCCCCCATATAGAAAAGTGTTTGTTTCACTTAGGAAAAAGCTAGACGAAGTAGGATGCTTGGTCACTCTCTCTCCCTCGCTTGCTCACTGCCCCAAAAAACTGATTTTCGACATAGTTCAATATATTGTACATGATTTGTTGCCATCGGGGAGCTGCTATCAATATGCAGAAGACTCCCTGAACTTTCATGAGAGGTCTGATGGCATTATACTGCTAAAAGGAAATAACAACAGCCCCATACTCTGAGTCTGACACTGACAAAAGCTCTGACCTTCTTCTGCCTACTCACCTCATATGTTACCAAACCAACTGCCAGTGATCACAATGAAGGTATTACACCCTTAAACTATATTACAAACTCAGCTGAGTACTGTGTGCGAAAGCAGTATAAGGTGGTGACTGTTACACTTATTTTCCCCTTGAGGCTATTTGTATCTGTATGTGTTTTGTGCCTCTTACAAGTCATAATGTGGGGTGAACCCAAAAAACAATGAAGAGGTTCAGTGAAAATTGGAGGTTGTTTTGGACCATTGTCCATTTTGTGAAAGCCACAGCAGGTCCTTGGATTCAGTATTGGTGTTATATCTTATGTACACTTAAATGTGAAAGAATCTGTCAAAAATTTAAAAAGTACCAACAACACTGGCTCTTCTTTGGTCTGTGCCATAGCCACTTAACTCACATAAAAAAGGTAAACTTAGCTTCAATTTTGCCCTCTTCATGGCAACATCCAGGTGTGTAAAATAAGACAGAAGCAAAAGAAGTAGCCTATTACCAAATCCTCATAATGTGAGCCCCATACAGGCTGTAAGGTGCAGTGGACAAGGACTACAAAACATCTTGCACCAGCATCATATTTGTGTCTTTTCCAGTCACTCACTGTGAGTGCACTGAGCTCCATCCAGGCTCCCTGGTAGACTGAGTTCAGTTTTAGTTGGTTGTCGCTTAGGATGAGCTTTTGTAGCTTCTCCATGCGTGTCAGTGCACCGTCTGGTATGGAGCTGAGCTGGTTGTTCTTCAGTTCGAGCACCTGAAGGCTGCGAGGAAGACCCAGGGGCATGGAGTGGAGACTGTTTCCTGACAGGTCCAGGGTTTCCAGCACACGCATCTTCCTGAAGGCCTCACGGTGAACTTTGGGGCTGGTCAGCTTGTTATAGCTGAGGTTGAGTTCCGTCAGAGTGTATAAGTGGGCCAAGTCGTTGCGGCCAATTTCAGAAATTAAGTTGTGGAGCAGCATTAGGGTCTTAGCTCGTCGTGGCAAGCCCCTTGGAACCCGCTCCAGCAAATTGTTGTACATGTGTAGAGTATGAAGCTTCTTCAATCCCTATTGACAGTGCAAATAAAAGATCCAAGAGGTGATCCATTACTATACAGAATGTCAATATGCAATGCAACTGAGCATATCATCTTTTCCATTCTATTCTTACAATTGAAAATGTTAAATAAACTGTTGATTTTTTTAGGTCTGCTTCCTTGTAAAAGATCCAAAGAACATGAAATAAAAAAGAAATGTACCAGAAAGGCAGCATGGTGGATGGAACGTGAGCGCAGCTTGTTATTGTGGAGTAGCAGGTACTCAAGATTTCGAACAGAGGTAAGAGCATCTCCAGGGATGCTGCGGATGGAGTTCTTTTCCAGGTGTAGCAGTACTAGACTGCGAGGCAGACCTTTGGGGACAACGCTCAAATTGTTATTTGATAAGTCCAGGCACTCCAGGCTGCTCAGATGGCTGCCAGAAGAGAAGGACAGGAAGTCATCAAATCAGTTGTTTGATCCTGTACTGTGGTTTTTTCTGTCTCTGCTACTGCAACACAAGATATTCTTTGTTAAGTGGATCCCTTGTCTTAAGTGTATTTGAGAACATAAAAATACATGTATAATCAAGGCTTTACAGCACAATAAAGGCTTTACACTTAGCAATAGCATCAAGATGAAGAATACATTAACAGCTGGGGGTTTGTGAGGATTTTTGTGCACCTGAAAGTCTCATTGTCCATGCCCTCATTGCTGAGGAGGTTGTTCTGCAGATACAGCTCTCTGAGGTTGGACAAGTTGTCAAAGGCCCCTGCTGGAATTTTCTCCAGCTTGTTACTCTGTAGCAACAAGCGCAATCCTTATGTTATAATCAAAAACAAATGCACATAATCAAGTTGAATGCAATGCTAAATGCAAACTTAAGCAGGAAAGTGCTCAGGTACAGTATATAGTAGGTATTTCAGGTGCAGCACCTTCAGATGAAGACGGTAAAGAGTGGAGGGCAGGTTCCTTGGGACCACCCGCAGGAAGTTGCTGGACATGGTAAGGATCTCTAAGGTGTCAGAAGCATTGAACATGTGATCAGGAAGCCCTGCGTCAGTCAGCTTGTTGTTATGGAGATAGACAGACCTGGGAGCCATGATCAAGGGATACTGTCATTGTAAATTGACATAGTTCAAAGGAACAAAAAGAAAATTTATACAAACACATCTTTTTATACCTCAGCTTTGGTTTATGGCCAAACGTATACGGGTAGATCCTTGTAAGCTGATTAGCAGCAAAATCAGCACTGACCAAAGAGGGCGGTAGGACCTTTGGTGCCCAGGTAAGCTGCAAGCACAAAGAAATAAGCATGACAGGGCATCAATGCAAACATTTGATTCTACTGATGTAGGGTGAAGTTTTTTTTTTTTTTTTTTAATTTACATATTAAAAAACTGAAAAAACCTTAGAAAAAATCAACTGGACTTAGATTTCTAGATCGAAGACGTTTCTCCTCTCCTCCAAGAGGCTGCATCAGTTGGAGGAGAGGTGAAACGTCTGCAATCTAGAAATCTAAGTCCAGTTGATTTTTTCTAAGGTTTTTTCAGTTTACTATGACCTGGATGACTGAGAATCTGCACAGACATACATATTAAAAATTATTTATGTTTACATTTCCCAGGTAAGTGGCCTCTAGTGAATGTACAAATAATGAATGTTCTAATGAAAGTCATAATAGGGTGATCCTGTTATAGTGCTGCAAAAACTATTGTGATGAGCGTATGCTGAGTAAGTGACTTCGATGCTGAAGTCCATGGGTTGCATCCTCTGTTACCAACAGTAAACTTTTTTTTTAACACATGACCATACAGTGGGGCTCAAGAGATGGCAGCATCCATCTGCTGGTTACTGGTTGCTCAGACCAACAGTTTGGTTCTGAGTGAAGTATCTTGACAAAAATTACAGACAGTAATGGCCAAAAGCAGATGAATTTGAATTAGTTTGGCATTTCAGTGACTCTTCACCCAGTGCCACAATGAAGTTGACAGTGTTTGGTTTTATGTGAAATATCTTGAAAGCTTTCACACCATTGTTTCATCCATTTATCCATTCATTGTTTTCAGCCAATATACCTTATGACTTATGTGAAATGTTGAAACAGCTATTGCCTCCATCAAGTCAAAATGATGATAACCAAATACCCACAAAACTACCTAAGCCATACTTTGTGTTTAGTCCTAACTGTTATGCTATCTAGTTAAATCTTGCTACATATGGCACCAGACTCTAGAATTCCCTTCCCTTAGAGGTGCTAAGGGAGTCGGAACTAGTGGTTTTTAAGTCGACCTTAAAAACTTTTTCCTTTAGGCAGGCTTTTGAGGCATAAATTGGCTTTTTTCATTTACGGGTATGTTAACATGTATTGTTTATGTTATTTTCTTAAATTTGCTCTGGGTTTCCTCTGGTTCTTATTTATTTGTTGTTCTTTATGTTTGCAGTCTTATTTCGATTTAGTGATTTTACTTGTTTGTAGTTTTGTTCTGTTGTACAGCACTCTGGGCTCCTACAAGTTGTTGAGTGCTATAGAAATAAAGTTTATTATTATTATTAAACCAAGACTGCTGTCATGGTAATTAATATACATATTAAGTAATAGCCATGGATGATCCACATTGGCTTCATTTCTCAAAGGTTGCAGCTTGGTTTTAATATTTGTAAAACTTTCCCAGAGCCTAGAAAGCAGTTTTATTTTTGTGATCTAATCCAAATGTGGGCCAAGCAGGAGTATCTGGGTGGGGGCAACAAGGGAAACATTAAAGGGCATGTGCAGTGGGTCACACAACATGGAAGCAAACATGGTAGCAAACCTGGAAGAAAAACATTTTTTGGCATATGCACCAGGCGAACAACTTTCAGTGGAAAGATCGGGCACCATTTTTTAATGCAGGATCCAGCTTTCAATAATACGTCCATGGTACTAGCATTAGCATTAATACTTTAACATTAAATTACTTGCATGCAAATGTTTCGATTTAACTACAGCTTCACAAATCCACTAACGTGGCTGTCTTGTTTTTAACCATACATAATCATAAACATCACAAGCATAACAAGTGGCCTCACTTTTACTTACCTGCATTAAACAAAACCTTTGTAAAGGAGGCTGTAGATTAGAAAATGCTCCTGTGTTCATAGTTATGAGGGTCATTGTTTCGGAGGGCCGTGATAAACTATGCACTTTGTGCTTTAGGTATTAGAACTTGGTGGATTTTATTTTATTTATTTATTTTATTTTAAAATTTCCAATATTTGCTCTGATACAGTTAACCGGTTCTTTTCAGTTGCTACAGAGCAGAGCTGTTCGCCAAGCTTTCTGGCCCTTCATAAAGGCAAGGTTTTTATCACTTTAGTCACTCGTACCAGAATTTGCACTACACTGTAGAAAGTAGCAGAGGTTATAGAAGTCTGAGAAGCACTGGTGAGATTAAATGTTCACTTAGTGTTCTCTCCTTTATAACATGGTTTATGGGTTAAAGCAGCATGGATGCCTTTAAGGCTTAGTGAGCATTTTAAAATGATCTATTCTTCCTGTATCCCATTTGCCTATTCTTCCTTGTAAGGGCACAAACAAGTCCTTTCTCTCTCACTCTGTGTCCAACAGGGTCAGTAACATTTTAGCTCAGACCAGCTGGCACAGCCACGATGGAAGTGATTACAGGCATAAGCTTGCACAGAGTGGATGAGAGGAGGCTGCCACCTCTCTCTGCCTGCTGGCACTAGAGAATAACAGTGAGATGACAGCGTTAAAGATAAACTTGCCATTGCATTATGTAAGCACTGTTGAGGTCAGTAGGGAGAAAAGACTTTTGAAAGTCTGGCATATGACTCACCTTGTTATTTGCCAAGTATAAATAGGCCAGCTGTTCGAGTATCTCAAAACCTTCATCTTCAAGGCCTGTAAAGAAAAACATGCATTGCTAATCAATATGGTAACCATAACCAGTAATAAAAAACAATTACATGTAGTTTTTCTCATACACAAGAAAACAAACAAAAACAATTTCAGACACAGTAAATTGTTTCATTGTGTGTTGTTTCTTTGGGAATACTTAGAACAAAAAAGATATTTTATGAAGCACTATCTGGGGGGATTTGTTGTGAGTTAGATGAAATTGCTGAAGAGATATCATTCAGGTAAACTGACATACAGTAGTATTAGTTTTTGGACATTACAAGCTGTACTGGAGGGAACTGTGCATCATTTTTCTTGTTCAAAATGTTTTAATCAATTTCAATATTCATAGTTTGATCATTTTATTCCATGCAAAGCAATGGCATCACCATTCAGACACACACCATTATGCACACCAATAAGCAATCACATCACTGTTCATAATGCTGTGACATTCATGCACTGTAACCAACTCCTTTCAGTTCAGTACAAATTAAGTCTGTTGCTGAACAGCTGTGTTAGGTTCAGCACACAACCGGATTGATCCTGCGTTAAAAACGTGTTTGTACGTGCACTAAAGTTCAGTTGCGGTGGTTAAAAGAAGTGCACCTAGATCCCCACTCCAGACCCTGTGGTAATATTTTAGTGAATAAGCTCTGAACCCTAGCTGGCTGTAACTCAGTCATATCTGGGAATGACAGAAAGAATTTTCAACCTATCGCTAAACATTTTAGCAAAGAACCAAATTAAATAATGACTCAGAAAACTGACCATACTGCATGGTTTTGCCAGATTAAAAAGGGGGACTAAAGAAGTCTTAGTCAATCAAAGCTAGGCACTCCTTAAGTCCTGAAATATATTTCAGAAAATCCACAATAAAGCTAGGATGATGTATAATGGATTATTTGACAGGAAAGGATCCCAGATATATACATACCTGGCCAAGTAGTGTGAAAGTGCTTTGAGTGTGCTGTAAAGCATAGAAAAGTCCTATACAAGTATAAGACCATTTACCATTTACATTGAAATCAGGTACTTAATCTCACCATATGGAGTAATCTCACATAAAACCCTTTCCACTGGGGTCTTATGTTGCCCTATTAGTGGTTCCATTAAAACAAAATGTCAAATTCACAATAGTTTTGGAAGCTGCAGTTAGAGCTTTGGCAACACAAGCCAATAATCACAAGAGGCTAGGAAGGCAAATATCTCACAAGCTATCTGTTCATCTTGGCAGCTCTGTTAGCCAGAATGATAATTACCAGCTGGCATTCAGCCATACCAAAAGCAAAAACAACGAAGGTTTAGGTAGGAGCAAGACACTGTAACCACCATGTGTTCAATTAATTTGGCCATATTAATTAGCCTATTCTAGCTATGACATCTACACTAGACCACATAACACCCATAACAAATGGTGTCATTTGAGCTTAAAACTCACAAAATATTTGCCTTTTATAACCACTATAAACTTGCACTGTTGTTTGTATTCTGGTAGGCATTAGTGCTTCAGAGCATTACTTTCTGCCTTTTCAAGCTAAACAACATCTTTTTTGCTGAATAACAGCCACTCTGAAAACAGAAGAAAATGGTAAATGGTGAAATATAGATTACAAGAAACACAAGTAAAGTGGAATTGGAAAGTCAGTCAGACCGAGTAAGTGTCAGTTACAAAGCAATATCTAACTAAAGTTAGCAAAAATTAGCTAACATTAGCCATCAGTGGTTTTACCTGATGAGGTAAGTACAAGAGCAAAACCCCTGAGTGTAGAAGACTAAGAAAGAATGTCTTTTATTGCTAAAACACAGAGTTTCTCTGACTTTGTACAACTCAGTCTAGAGCAATACAACATTTCTCCAAATTGTTTCTGACACCCGCAGAGAAGGTCAAAGGTCAAAGTGTTTTTTTGTCATATGCAAGTTAAGAAACACGTTTCCCTGTACAATGAAAATCTTACTTTGCCGTCCACATGAATGCCACACAATACAAATGAAATATAAAGTTAAATATAAAGTAAATGAGCTATAACACAACTCTAAATAGGCAGTAAAATCACAAATCTAAGGCACTTTAAAGCAGCAAGTGAAGGGAGCAAATAAAAATACAACAAGAACACAATATAATGTAGAGAGAATATATGCTACGTGGGAGCCGTGGAGTGTAAATACTCAGCAGTGAGCGTGCAATTGTGCATGTGCAAAATGAGAAGCCAGGGAGACAAAATGTTAATGATCCAGGAACAGCTGAACTAAGCAGCAGATGACATAAGAAGAAAAATATCTTCCCACTTCTTCTGCCTCTGTAAATACAAGTTCAATTTGATATTGACACACACACACAACAGCCTAGTGGCAAAATAACTTCACACACTAAAATTGCTCCAGTCTGAGTTAACCTACACTTCAAGGTTCCCACGTGGCAAGAACTAAAACTCACAAACAGCCTTGCAAATGTCTATAATTTGCTCCCCTTGCTGTATGCCAGGTTCCTGTTAGATGTTTACCATCTGTGGTAAGCCAGTTGTTCTGAAGGTTGAGAGTCTCAAGCTCATGCAGATGGGAAATGTGCTCCACTGTTATCTTCTCAATTTTGTTGTTCTGATATCAGGACACAAAACACAGACAGTAAACAAAGTGGCAGATGAGAGTTTTTCACTAGTAACTCCCTATTTCTGAGTGGAATAAAAAAAAAAAGTTTGTCTATTACTGTTGATGATTGTGTGTGTGTGTGTGTGCGCGCGTGTGTGTGTGCATGTAGTGTGTGAAAGACCTGTAGAGACAGCTGGCGGGTTTTGTCAGACAGAGTGGTGGGAAACTCTGTGAGGTCGACTCCAGCACAGTCCACTGCCCCTTCTGTTGTACAGCTGCACTCTGCTGGACACTGGATTGGCTCAGATTTCGTCACCGCTGTTGCAGTACTGGTCACTGTTATCTGGTCTTCCTCCTCCTCTTCCTCTGCTTTGAGAGAGGTCTGGCAATGCACCAAAACCCAGGCCAAGAGCAGCACACTCAGGGCCTGCAGGATGGAATGCTTGGGAAAAGCCATGTCCACTGCTAAACTCTCCTGTTGCAGAAGCACATGCATAGAAAAGTTAAAAGCATAAGGCTACAGAGTATTTTGTTCCTGAGAGCAAGGTCTTGGAAAAGCTACAGTATGCTACTTTTTAGACACAAGATCACACCTCTACTGAAATGCTGACTGAGATTTTGGGGCCAGCTTTAAAACCATGTTCCAGACATGGATTCCGGAGCTAAAGCTACCAACTGGAAAGCTACCGAAGATAGACAGAGCCCATTATATTTACTCGAATAACTTCTTGCATCCAAGAATCATGTCCACAAGACTTCTACGCTATACAGATTGGCAGGCTATACTGCAGAGAGCAAGACAACGCCCACTCTCCAGGATGGCGCCCAGTTGCAATTCTGTGTAAATTACTGCCCAGGAATGACACACAACAGAGGAAAAGCTTAAAAGAAGTCAGAGCAGAGCTCCGCCAGAAGGATACAGAATCATTCCTGATTTATCTCACTGCACTGAGGATATATAATATAATGGCAAGAAGCTATCATTCGACTTTCCTGATGAGGTAGAGTAATACCTGGCAGGGTCTATTCAGGGGGTGAGGGCAGCAACCCCAAACAACAGCCAGAGAGCTTCACTGCTCTTCGACAACATGGAAATATCAGGTGGAACAATACCCCAGAGGCTAAGGTGCGGACAGCCAAGGACTCCGAGCCATGAGTGATTCTTATTTTGGATATTGTCTTGACTGTCTACTTAGGTCCATTCTGTGGCATGCTATCATTTTCATTGTCCTTTTTCATATGTTTCCATCAGTGTCACGGGTGATGCAGCAGCCACTTACTATTAGAGTGGTGGAAGAACGTTTCTGTATTCGAATGTATTCTCAAACCAGTTCTGGTAACCAGAATTGGCATTAGTTGGAATCCTAGCTTATGTTTTTTCTCTCTCTCTCGTCCTCCCCAATTGTTGTGAGTGTCAGTAAGGGCACTACCTGCAGTAATTTTTACAGTGCCTTGCGAAAGTATTCGGCCCCCTTGAACTTTGCGACCTTTTGCCACATTTCAGGCTTCAAACATAAAGATATAAAACTGTAATTTTTTGTGAAGAATCAACAACAAGTGGGACACAATCATGAAGTGGAACGAAATTTATTGGATATTTCAAACTTTTTTAACAAATAAAAAACTGAATAATTGGGCGTGCAAAATTATTCAGCCCCTTTACTTTCAGTGCAGCAAACTCTCTCCAGAAGTTCAGTGAGGATCTCTGAATGATCCAATGTTGACCTAAATGACTAATGATGATAAATAGAATCCACCTGTGTGTAATCAAGTCTCCGTATAAATGCACCTGCACTGTGATAGTCTCAGAGGTCTGTTTAAAGCGCAGAGAGCATCATGAAGAACAAGGAACACACCAGGCAGGTCCGAGATACTGTTGTGGAGAAGTTTAAAGCCGGATTTGGATACAAAAAGATTTCCCAAGCTTTAAACATCCCAAGGAGCACTGTGCAAGTGATAATATTGAAATGGAAGGAGTATCAGACCACTGCAAATCTACCAAGACCTGGCCGTCCCTCTAAACTTTCAGCTCATACAAGGAGAAGACTGATCAGAGATGCAGCCAAGAGGCCCATGATCACTCTGGATGAACTGCAGAGATCTACAGCTGAGGTGGGAGACTCTGTCCATAGGACAACAATCAGTCGTATACTGCACAAATCTGGCCTTTATGGAAGAGTGGCAAGAAGAAAGCCATTTCTTAAAGATATCCATAAAAAGTGTCGTTTAAAGTTTGCCACAAGCCACCTGGGAGACGCACCAAACATGTGGAAGAAGGTGCTCTGGTCAGATGAAACCAAAATCGAACTTTTTGGCAACAATGCAAAACGTTATGTTTGGCGTAAAAGCAACACAGCTCATCACCTTGAACACACCATCCCCACTGTCAAACATGGTGGTGGCAGCATCATGTTTTGGGCCTGCTTTTCTTCAGCAGGGACAGGGAAGATGGTTAAAATTGATGGGAAGATGGATGGAGCCAAATACAGGACCATTCTGGAAGGAAACTTGATGGAGTCTGCAAAAGACCTGAGACTGGGACGGAGATTTGTCTTCCAACAAGACAATGATCCAAAACATAAAGCAAATTCTACAATGGAATGGTTCACAAATAAACATATCCAGGTGTTAGAATGGCCAAGTCAAAGTCCAGACCTGAATCCAATCGTGAATCTGTGGAAAGAACTGAAAACTGCTGTTCACAAATGCTCTCCATCCAACCTCACTGAGCTCGAGCTGTTTTGCAAGGAGGCATGGGCAAAAATTTCAGTCTCTCGATGTGCAAAACTGATAGAGACATACCCCAAGCGATTTACAGCTGTAATCGCAGCAAAAGGTGGCGCTACAACGTATTAACTTAAGGGGGTTGAATAATTTTGCACGCCCAATTTTTCAGTTTTTTATTTGTTAAAAACGTTTGAAATATCCAATAAATTTCGTTCCACTTCATGATTGTGTCCCACTTGTTGATTCTTCACAAAAAATTACAGTTTTATATCTTTATGTTTGAAGCCTGAAATGTGGCAAAAGGTCGCAAAGTTCAAGGGGGCCGAATACTTTCGCAAGGCACTGTACATACTGTAGCTGTGCACACAGGTTCACGGGGCAGTCAGATGTGCAGCACATGTAAATGAATTTATAGCTGCCTGTAGCGTCGCACCTAATGAACTGTTTCAGTTCTACTGTTTCTTTAAACATAGATTCACGTTTAAGTATGACCCAGTTGGGAGGAGAAAGGTTACAGAGGGAACTGGCACTAGCTAATCAAGGGTGGGGGGCTAATTCAGGGATCCTCCTGGGCGGCCATAAGTGCATGGAATTCCTGTCAATTTTGTACTAATTAAGCATCACAGAGCATCCATAATGCCTAATCTCATAGCTTTAGTTCAAAATAGATTGGGGCACGTCTTGGTCAAATTGTGTACTAGCCCCACGTAACCCCAGTCACCAATTTATTCATTTCAAGTTCTGTCACAGGGTGTATGTGACACCTCAGCAGAGATATTTGATGGGACTGAGCCCCAGTCTGAACTGTATATCTTGCTCTCCAGGGACCCTGGGCACCTAGGTGCACATAATCTGTGTCTGTCCACAGGTACAGTGCTTCTGATAAGAGACAATACAAGTGATCTCTACCCTGACAAAGGTTAAGTTCCCAGTGGACCCAGCACTGGACCTGCTTAATGACTACTCCAAACTTTTACTCACCAAAAATATGGCTAGCTGGACTGTCAGCAGCCAAAAAGCATATTGCTCAATCCTGGATTCTTCTACACAGTTTGACAGCACAGTCATAACACATTGTTAGAAATTCTATTTCAGGAACTTTTGACTGCCAGGATAAACACACATTCTCCTGAAACAGTTTGTAAGCTCAGTAGAAGAGTTCTAACTACAGTCTCATGGTCCCTCCTGACTGAACTTTTGTTTTTTAATTTCTTTTTTAGTTTCCCCATAAAGGGTGGTGGGGGTGGTTTCTGTTTAGTTCATGTTCTTTGAGCTCCTGTGTTATGTCTTGTTTTGTTAAAATTCAATAAAGATTAATGTACATAATAATAATAACAGTGATAATAATAAAATAATGTAAGATATAGACCTGATTACGTAAAGTATCGTAAGTGAATTGGCACTGTGCAAATACACTATACAAATAAATTAAATTGAAATGACATGAATTGAAAAACATCAAATCCCCTGATGTTCGTGTAACAAAAGTACGCAAATGGTCTTTTAAGACTGATCACATATTGTGTGCGTGATTTTTTTCCATTATTTTTATCAGATTGGAGCTGGACAAGGTCAAAGATCAATTGTACAAAAAATACTGAAAAAAATCACACAAAAAATTACCATGGGGCAAATTAAAAAAAACCTTATCTCTGTCAAAGGTTATTGAAATCATTTTTTGTTTCAAATTGGACATACATACTGTATGTAGGGTAACAATGTCTATCACCAGGCCAGATTTGATCCGGATCTGACAGCGATTTAAATTTAACATTGAAAACCCTATTTAACACATATTTTCTGCCATAACTTGGCCGATAGTGAAGATAGAACCCTGAAATGTTCAGATAAGATGCACAGTATAACTGCTGGTCACACCCTAAAAGATGTTCGACATCTGATCTAGATCAAGGATTTTAGGACACATTTTGTGTTGGATCTCATTTTTCAGAAGGGATTCATTTGCATGAGTGAATGTTGTGCGTTGGCGGAGGTACATGCATTCTGTGAGTGCTCGCTTTTTACTGTGATGATTGGTTTGTACTGCTTCTTATTGTTTTTATCTTTCATGTATGAATATGTACATAAGCTGCAAAGATCATTTTCATTGTATATGATATACAATGACTTCTTAATTCTTGTTCCAAAAGCCCCCAACTTTATGGAAGGGCCAAACAAAATCACCGGAGTACCCATTTAACAAACACATGTATCTGCTTATTACAATTCCATTTGCAATATGAACATGTACTGTCATCTCAATTCAAATCTTTTCAATCTACCAGTGTTTATCTATCCCTGATCTATAGAAACAATTTGTCTCAATATGTTGGTTTGCACTGTTTACCTGTAGGGCCAGCAACAAACGTGTTTCTGTTGTGTCTGAAGCTTCAGTTGTCACCAACTGCAGGGCTAATTTGTGAAAAGCACAGAAGCATTACCCCTGATAAAGTAACTCTTTGCTTTCCAATCATTTCACACATGTTCACAAACACCAGTAATTTAAAGAAAGTCAAATCGTCAGGTAATGATTAAATAAAATGACAGGAACCTAGCCTTTTACAATTGCCTGACAAGGGCAGCAGTGTTGAGGTGAGGCTAGTGTTTTGGTGAAGCCAGCTGAAAGCCCTCTAATCATCTCCACCAATGTTCATAGAAATATTTCAAGTGGACTCTCAAGGCAGGTCTCAAGGCAAAAGTCTAAAAGCCCATCCATCACTACTTTCCCTTTATCACACCAGAACAACTACCAGAGAAACTGAGGCAAACACACATACTCCGAAAATCCTACACAGCAGCATGTATACGCCCACAGCAAATGAAAAATAAAAGCCTGTGCACTTGCCTGCACTTATTGTACAATGTCAGCCCTCGCCTGAATAAAAACATGATGACATCCAGGGGTCAGAGAGAACTTTAAGCCTTCACTCAGTCAACACCATGTTATTAAGTTACTTTATAATTCAAAGGCATAAAAGTGAGAATCCTGTTTACTGTAGAGATGCTGTGCATTTTAAAAGTAATCATCTTGTTTCCATGCTGCTGCTCTTCCTCAGCTGAGCAGACGTCGTGATGTGTTTTTACTGCACTGTGAAATAGTTTGCATCATCTGAAGTACACATGCCACAACTGTCATGCATGGATGAGTGAAGCTGGCACTTAAAGTTCAGTCTAAGCTCCTAACGGCATAGCGGCCACCCTGAAAACATGCAGCAGTAAAGCCTGCGAAAGCCACATTCTGGTCTACTACTGTACTTTACCCCTTTGGAACAATGTTTGCTGAAATGCACTGAAGTCTGAAGTCCAGTCCAAACACAATCTATCCCATAGCAGGCGAAGTGTCACACAGCCACACCAGATACCCTCCAGATGTGAGGGAGAAGTGAGAGTAGGAGAAGGAAAGTTAGGAGATTGAAAGGAAGGGGAACAGGGGAGAGTGAAACAGAAGGGAGTGAGTAAGAGAGCCAGCTCTGGCTTGACTTGGAGCCAAAAACACAGATTCTTTCCTTTTTCCCATAATTTTCCCCTACTTTTATGTCACTGTTGTGGGCCTTCACCATTTTAATGTAATACGTTTGTGTTGTGATAGCTTGGAGCGGTGATGTTTGGTGAGGTTTACTCTACATTCAACAGAGATCATAATCATACTGTAGACTTTAGG